AAAAAATCTGGATGGTTTAATTATAATGCGTGCAACACATGTTGGTCAAGAAACAGCACTAAAACAAATAATTCGTTTAGTTGAAGATGCTCAAACATCGAAAGCACCAATTCAACAATTAGCTGATAAAGTTGCGGGATATTTTGTACCATTTGTTGTATCGATTTCATTGCTTACATTAATCATATATATTGTTTTGGGTTTTACAATCTTTGATACAATGAAAAAATATTCATCAGTAATTTTCTTTCGAATATTGCTTACACATATATTGTTTATATTTTATAGTATTATCAATCAATGGATGATGATGGATCATCACATGGTGGACATTCGACTGATATGTATGGAGCAACAAAAACTGAAATTATACTTGAACTTGCTTTTCGTTATGCTATTACTGTTTTATCAATTGCTTGTCCATGTGCATTAGGTTTAGCAACACCAACGGCTGTTATGGTTGGCACAGGTTTAATAAAATATATATATATAGCTTTTTTTTCGTAAATTGATAATCTAGGTATTGGAGCATCGAATGGTATATTGATCAAAGGTGGAGAACCACTTGAATCTGCTCATAAAATACGTACAATTGTATTTGATAAAACAGGAACAATTACAAAAGGCAAACCAACTGTGATTGATAAAAGAATATTTTTTCAAAATTCACATATGACATTAGATCGTATGTTAGCTATTGCAGGTAGATAAAAATTAGAAATTTTTTGTTCGTTTATATTTCTTCAATTATATTATAGGAACAGCTGAAAGTGGATCAGAACATCCATTAGCTTTAGCTGTACGTAATTATTGTAAAGAATATTTTGCTACTGAACAATTAGGTCTTTGTCGTGATTTCAAAGCTATTTGGGGATATGGTCTTCAAGCTCGTGTTAGTGATATTGATTCTATTATAAATAGTACGAATTCAAATTCATCTCAAACATATTCAGTTTTAATTGGAAATAGAGAATGGATGAAATGTAATCATTTAAAAGTCGATGATGGTATTGATAAGACAATGTCTGTACATGAACATGATGGTCATACAGCAGTATTAGTAGCAATAGATGGTAAGAATAGAATAACAAGAGTAATTTTTTCTCTTCATTCATATATATTTATATTTTATATACAGGTAAAATAGTTGGTATGTTAGCTATAGCTGATGAAGTAAAGCCAACAGCTGCATTAACCATCTATGCATTACAATCACTTGGTCTACGTACCATTTTATTAACAGGTGATAATGTTAAAACAGCTCGTGCTATTGCAAGTCAAGTAGGCATTAAAACTGTTTATGCTGAAGTATTACCTACACATAAGGAACGTTTTATTGCTAATTTAAAAGAAAATGATAAGTCTCATGGTAAAATAGCTATGGTTGGTGATGGAATTAATGATTCACCAGCATTAGCACGTGCTGATGTTGGTATTGCTGTTGGTACGGGTGCAGATGTAGCTGTTGAAGCAGCATCAATTGTATTAATTCGTGATGAATTATTCGATGTTGTTGCTGCAATTATGCTTTCAAAAAAGACTGTATGGCGTATTCGAATTAATTTTATGTTTGCTACTGTTTATAATATAATTGGTATTCCAATAGCTGCTGGTATGTTAATTATATATAAATTTGAAAAAGAAAATTATTTTTATTTTTAAGGTGTACTTCTTCCAGCTGGTGTTCAACTTATGCCATGGATGGCATCAGCAGCAATGGCATTATCATCTGTGAGTGTTGTTGTTTCATCATTACTTTTACGTTATTTTAAAAAACCAAGAATGGATCAATTTGAAAAAGATAGTCGTTATCGTGAATGGTCACTAAATAAATCAAATGGAATTATTGTTCATCGTGGTATTGATAATTTACCGCTACATCGATCAAAAGGAACAAGTATTATATCAAGTCTTAGAAATAGTCGATTGTCACAAATTGTCGGAGAATCTATCTCAGCTATTAAAAATGCTATTATGGATGAAAAAAGAAAAGCAACAGTATTTTTTAGTGATGAACGATTTCCTAATCAGAATAAAGAAGAAGAAATGGAATTACAAATATCAGCATTATAAATAAATATATATGAATAATCTTTTTTATTTTTATTTTAATCAATAAAACATATATAACTACCCGATTGAAAAGAATTGATTTTTATTCATTGAGTATTATCGAATGTTTATCTATAGATTTATTTTCATTCATCAATTTAAATGGGATTAGTTAAGTTTCGTTTGTTCGTAATACTTGAAGTTCAGATAAAATATTTTTATCATTACAAAAGATAACATCAAGTTGTGAGAAAGATTACATGACATATATAATAAATATAGAGAAAAACTTAGACTTCTGATAATCATCAAGTGAAAATAAAACAGCTATTTTTATTCAAAATAGTCTGAGAAAAAAATTAAGAATCATAAATAGATATGAAAAATCAACTATTTTATTGCGATAAGTAGACAATAGGTCTTGTGCAAATATACAATCCGTTTTTTTTCTGTTCTTTCTTCTATCGATTATATATGCAGTGTGAAAATGCATATTTGTGAAGTGCCTCGTTCTGTATTGTCTTACCGCAAATCTACAATACTCACGCATACATATACATACTTCATACCTTCTTATAAATTAGACATAGAAGCATTGTAATAGAATATGAATAACAGTCATGTTCATAATTCAAACCATATGCACCATCAGCATCATGATGATACACATCATAAAGAATCAATGACCTCTACACACAATGATCGTCATTCAATGATGGAAGTAATAATGATTTTAATTCTATTTTAAATAATAAATTTCGTTTTGATTTAGATGTCTTTTCATACAGGTTTTGTTGAAACAATTTTATTTGAACCATGGATAACCACAACTATTCCAAGTAAAATTATTTCATAATCCAATTTATATAATTGTTCTTTAGTTTTTATTATATCATGGATTTTTATATTTATATTGGGTATTTTACATGAAGGTATTAAAGAATTTCGTCAATCATTAGAAGTAGAACGATTTATTGAAAGACCAATGTCAGTTGATATTATTTGATTTTAATTTTGTATTCAGTTATTTCGCTTAGAATTTCAGATAATGGAAATGAGAATGAATTGGAATGTATGAATATTGAATCGCTTGACTCAACTCATCATACTAAAAAAACAAAGTAATGAAAAAGAAAAATATTTCATAAATTTACAAAATATATATTATTCTTTTGAAGATCTTCTCCATCGTATATTGAACGTATATTACTTAGTGTGTTATATGCTATTCATTTGGCACTTAGTTATGTCTTAATGCTTATAGCAATGACATTTAATATTTATCTCTTTTTCGCTATTATATTTGGTCTTGGTATTGGTCATTTAGTATTCACACGAAATCGTATAATATCTTCAACGAGCAACAATCAACATCATACATAAGAGAAAAGCAATTACTTGCAAAATTAAAAAGAAGAATATAATAATTCTAACTTTAGATTAATAAAATTACGTTTTTTTTAGTAAAACTGTATAATATTTGATAGAGGAGTTAATTAAAATATACGATGTGTCTATATTTCCTTTCAATTGATCGATTTATCCATAACCCATATTATCATAGGCGGCAGCAGATTTATCGTCTGTTTGCTTAATACAATATATTTCTTCACATGGACAAGTATTGTTAGACTTCGTCATAGTTGAAAGAATATATGGTGTAAATTGATTATTCGTAGGACATTTAAAAGATAAATTTGACTCATTGGCATTCGTAGTTGTCTTATGGAGACTCATCATAGAAATCTAAACGTGAAAATGAT